GAGTAGCACAACCAGGTCTTACAAACCAATGGGCATACTACTTCATCGATGTATACAATATGTACTAGTTGGTGATTTGTGTTACATGTATCCACTAATGGTCATTCCACAGATGTGATTCACCTTTAGCGATCAAATCCACCTTAATGAAAAATCTTCATGAGAGCTTTGGCCCCACCCCAAAGATGTAATTGTTATGTTGTGCAATTGAGCACTGGGATAACAGAAGTTTCAAAAGCCCTGCAGGTGATTCTAATGTTCAGGCAAGGCTGAAAAACACTGCTACACATAAATATCAATTTTGAAGTGTATTATACTCTTGTTAGAATTTTTAAAGTGGCATGGTCGGCAACAAATGCTTTAAATAAGATTCCCAGACCTGAACTACCCAAATCACTTATGTCTTCTTTCCTACTCTGCTTAAAAAATGAGGGCTTCAATGAAATGATTATGGGGCACTTGTGTGCCGAGGTATTCAGCTGCATTTTGAGCTCTTCTCTAATGCCCATAAAAATGAACAATGCATGCTCTAAAATATTGGTAACAAAAGGCAAAAACAGAATACAAACTCAATGGCCTGAATCAATGGATTATTCTGCAGGGACTGCTATATTAGGAAACTGAAAGAAAGTACTTTTCAAACCATAAATATTTTAATCACTCTCTAATTCTACTTCTTTCATATAAATAAAAAACATCCCATCTTCTGCTTCCCAAGTCTGGAGCAGCAAGGAGAGTGATGCTTTTCCAAACATTTGCTTCCAGCAGAAGCAGTAACCACTAAGCATGAGATATCTATAAACTAGTGTCCCAAGCAAGGTGGGTTGTAGGAGAAATTCCTGCATCTGCTGGAATCCGGTATTGTTTGTAAAATCAGAATTTTGGATTGAGGAATACTGCTTCTCCAGTAATGAGCTAAAGAAGGCAGATAGCTAAGTCCTTCTTACAGAACTGGGGGTCACAGGTCGACAAGCAAACCGTCGTCCATGCCTCTGTTCAAAGTGGCAACAGTCTGAGATGGTGGCCAAGAAAGTTCAAAAGAAAGTGTGTCTCATGAAGGGCTTTTTTAAGATATTCGGAATTCGCATTTGGGGAATCTTTGGAAACAAGGAAAGCATTAAACCTACCAATAACCCCAAATCCATGTGTGTTCCTAAATTCAATAGCTTCTGCTACAAAGTTAATAGCAAGAAGAAAAGTGAATTGATTAAAATTTCAACCCTTCTCCCTTTTCCAACTTATTATTTGGCAAAGTAGAGCAGTGGTTGATAGACAAGCAGCAGGAAAAAAATCAGGAAGACACTGACCTAGAGGCCCTCATACAGAGCCCATCTTTTTTCACAAGGCTGGTAGAAGCAGAACAGAGACATAAAAGAAAAGGGACATAGTTAAATCTGTACTTGAGCAACCACTAGCAGAACTCTGACTGATATTATGCTGGTCTACCAGCAAATAGAACAACAACAACAACAAAAAGCTCATCCGTCCATGTTTCAATATTTTAAATTGATATGCATAAATACGGATACAAATTTAATATACCTACAAATTAAACGTATATTATGGTAGGCAGAAAAATATCCCCCTGCCCCACACTGATGTCCATGTTCCAATCCCTAGAATCTGTGAACATGTTACTTTACATGGCAAAGGGGAATTCAGGTTGCAGATGGAACTGAAGTTCCTAATCAGCTGACCTTAAAATAGGGAAGATTATCCTGGATTACCCAGGTGGTACAATGTAATCACAGGGGTCCATAAGAGTGAAAGATCCAAGCCAAAGAGGGATCAGAGTGATGAGGTGTGATGTGGGAAGGATAGGACCTGTGGTTGGCTGGCTTTGAAGATAAAAAGGGCAACCAGCCAAGGAATGCAGGTTGGCTTCTAGAACATGGAAAACATTAGATGGATACCCTCCCCCCCACCCCTGCCCCCAGAGCAGCCAGAAAGGAACACAGCTCTGCTGACTCCTTAATTTTAACCCATGAATCCCACTTCTGGCTTCTGTCCTATGGAACTATACATAAGATAGTACATTTGTATTGTTTAAACTATGAGGTCCATAGCAATTTGTTGCAGCAACCATAGAAAACTAGTACACACATGACAAAAGAGTACATTAACTGATACACTCTTCTGTTTACAAAACTAAGGCATGTGTAACACTAAAAAGAAAAAAGCAACCATAGCAAAAACATTTAATATGGAAAATTTAGATCCCTGGTCATTTCCATCACTGGTATTCACTCTTGACCAATGGATATGTGTGCATAGGATGAGACTCTCTGGCTCTCAGGCTTCCAGCTGCCTACTCACAGCCATAAACCGCCATCACTACTTGGCAGCACATATGTGACACTGAACATCTACGATCGGCAGATGATGCAAAAAGACGGCACTAGGGCCACGATGAAACACTATCCCCCAAACCTGCTGAAGACATCTTGCAGAAGACAGTTTTTACAGCCATATAAGTTAACTATAAAAAGTTGCAGAGTTGACACGTCAGGGACCTCACCCTGCACAGGCAGGATATCATTACCACTGACCCAAGCACATGGCCACGATGAACCACAGGGACTTGAGAGCCATGCTCACTTCCTAAAGACAGAGGCTTCTGGTCACCTTTGCCAACAATGTATTCTTGGGGCTCCATTTTGTAAATTACATGTTCTGTAGGATTTAAGCATCTAAGTGCTAACTGTCTTGAGTGATTCCTCTGCAGAAATTTGGTAATATTTTCCAAATATCTCAACTGTGCATATGTCAACAACAATAATATATATACATCATTATCATTGACAAAAATGCCAAGTTCTGTAATTCAGAAGAAGCAGAGTGAATGAAATCCTCTCAGAAAGCAGACAGACAGGATGCCGGGGTCCAACTCTTGATTTTGGCTTAGGTCATTATCTAATGGTTCCTGAGAGGAAGCCCTGTGTTGGGCTCTGCACCAACAGCATGGAGCCTGTTTGGGATTCGCTTTCTCCCTCTCTCTTTGCCCCTCTTCTGCTCCTGCTCTGTCTCCCTCTCAAAAATAAACTTAAAAAAAAAGAAAAAGCAAGCAAGCAGACACCTGATGCCAGAACACAGGCCAGCCAGTGGATTCCCTTCTCCTGAAGGGACAGGTGGCCCATGAACATAGAAGCTGAAGACCAGATGGCTTTCAGAAACACTGTAGTACATGAAGAGTTGCTCTGATCCAGGGGCAGAGTAGCCTTGGCCATTTCAGAGACTTTTTAACTCTCTCTCTCTCTTTTTTTTTTTTTTTTTTTTTGGCTTGATTTGTACGAACGTCTCCCTGCTCCTTCACTCCTCTTTCCAGAGGATGATTTGTACCTGAATTGCCACGTCCCTCCTAATCAAGTGAAGTACACTCAAGAGGCTACAGAATTACTGGGTTTCTCTCCTTCACCTCCCTTCTTCAATCATACCTGTGCCTGTGCATTGCTGCTGAGACCCTTGGCAGCTCCAGTTGTAGCTTACGCATCAGGGCTATCCATGTCACTGGGGCCTATTTCAATGGATTAAATAGATGGCCCAAGGTGACCAAGATAGAATGGCATTTGTCTGCTACAACTGCAGGTGAGATCATTATGCTGATGGGGACAGTCAGGTTAGAACCTGACTGAGGCTCAGCAAAGAGTATCATTTCCTCTTCATGGTTTCCTTTCTTTTCAACTGCTATCAGTTCCAGGTGCCACAAACCAGAAACATGGTGGTAAAGAAGGATGGGCTGTAAGTTCAGAGGAAAGGTGACAGGGAGGTAAAGACCAATAAGAACATGAAGCACAGTTGGAATTCTGACCTTATATTATGCCCCAAGCACAAGCTATGAAGTCCCCATAGGATGACGGTGAGGTCAGACCCTTCGACTCTTAGCGACAACACTTACATGCCCAGTACCAGGTCAGCAGGTATGGGTGATGGAGCCAAGCAAACCCAGATCCATAAACAGTAGCAAATTAAAACTACTGAAGACCTCTCCCAATATACCTGTCCTGAATACACCTGTCTCAACCATCAGTTATCATTAGCAATGTGATTACTGTTAACAAGGCCTTTATCTAAGGATAAAGATTTTGTTTATCGTGAAAAGTTTACATGATACTTCTGCCTTCTCTAAGTTGGTCAACACTCTTCTTGGTACCCAACATTCACTCACAAACAGAAATGGGAAATTTACACTCTTATAGAAAACCAAAGAAGACATCCGTTCAAAGAATCAAATGCTTTCTGCAAACTAAAAAAATGTTCCATATAAATTTACTAAACTCCCTGAAAGAGATTTTGCATTTTAATAAAAACTCTTTTTGATACAGCAAAGGGCAGATTATCTCAACACATGCATAATCCACAAAGAAACCAACAGGGGCGCCTGGGTGGCGCAGTCGGTTAAGCGTCCGACTTCAGCCAGGTCACGATCTCGTGGTCCGTGAGTTCGAGCCCCGCGTCAGGCTCTGGGCTGATGGCTCAGAGCCTGGAGCCTGTTTCCGATTCTGTGTCTCCCTCTCTCTCTGCCCCTCCCCCGTTCATGCTCTGTCTCTCTCTGTCCCAAAAATAAATAAAACGTTGAAAAAAAGAAACCAAGTTACCTAGAAAGAGACGCCTTCCTGATCTCATTCTTTCTCCAACAGCCACTGCACAAGGGGAGAGAGAGGCATCCAATGGGTGTTGCAATAACAAGGCATCTGGACTCATGCCGGAATAAGTTACTCTAGATAATATTTTTCAAGAAAGGGTCTCTGCTGGTGGCTCCAGTTTAGTTAGTCAAAAGGAACAAAACTTCTCCAGGCTTATCCCTAGAGAGATGAGAACATCGCCAACACAAGCTTCCCATCTATACAGGTATGTCTTCCTTTTTTCATTTACAAGGCAACCTAAAAATCACAGTTGTCCCCATTCTCCTGATCTGCCTTCCACACACAGTTAAGGAACCATACAAAGGTGAGGCTCCTTGGGAGACAAAGGAAGCTGCCTCTGCCTCAGATTCACCTCACCTTGTTGAAGTCTTCAGAAGTTGCCCTCATTTCCTTCCATGTCTTGTTCAGGAGCTGGATACAGATGCAGAAAAACTCCTCAAAGGATCTGTCATGGGTGAAGAACATTGGGTGGAAGTCGTTGCAGGTCTCACTAGCTGGAGGAAAGAGAAGGGAAATAAGAGAAAGTTTGCAGAGTGAAATGAGAGAACACAGCCACATGTGGGTGTCCCAAAGAGAGATGATGGGAGGCATGTTTGGCTCAAGCCACGGTGGAAGTAAGGCATTTTGAAAACCTAATGATAGTGTCCATGGGCAACTGTGAAGTTGAAGGTCAGACGGTCAGACCTATCCCAAGGGACATATTTTGACTGAAGGAAGTCAGCTCCTAACCCACCCTAAGACATGAACTTATAACTTTTGTTCCAGGATCCCTGGTGTTGAATATGGGCTCTGTATCTGCCTTTTTGACGTTATAAAGATGATTCAAACTGCCTTCAGTCATAGCTCCATCACTCTTAATTTCTCCTTTCTCACCAGAATAACTGGCAGAGGATGAGCTTTCCCAAGCACACAATTAATTGCAATTTTGAAAATAGCATCCTCGATTATTTCTCCAGGGGGCTCTTTTCCCTCTTATGGCAGTAAGCAGGGGGACATTTAAGATCATATACCATCTGATGCCATTAACCATTTGTTTTACATTTCCAGACACAGATGGCTGGAGGTCAAAGCAACCCAAATGGCTCTGAAGGCCATGAATGGTCCAGTCCTGGACCAAACCATGAAATCAGCCAGACTGCCTTCCTGCCTCCCCGTTGCAGGGTTTCTGCACATCAGACCCAGTGCTCTGAGCTCGAGCTGTGCCTATCTCTCTCCTTCTTCCCAGAACAGTACTGCAGCCACTCCCTTCTTCCCTGCTAACTGTCAAGCTTACATTTTTGTAGTCCTTTTACATACATCTCATTTGATCTTTACAATGCCTCTTATGGTTCATGCCTTATGGATAAGGACACTAGAAAGAGCCAGATTTTGTGATTCCCCCCAAAAACAGTACCATAAGTTTTTTTTTTAAATATAAGCTGTTATGTATAGCGAAATAGTTCCTATTTTAATCAGAATCTCTTTAAATGCCAATTAGTCTTCAGGGTTCCAAATGGTAGAATTTCAAGCCCTAGAAGCCCGGGAGAGGAGTGGCTGCAGGGCGTGCATAGGGCTTACAGCAAAGACCTTCTGTACTTGTGGAAAGCCCTGTGCCTGCCATGTGGTTGATTCTGCTTGGAGAGAATCCTCCGGTGCAGGCCCAGCAATTGAACCCTAATCAAACCTAAGCAAACACACTCTGCCCTGGCAAGGCCACAAGCTCTTATGTCCCAAGCTCCTCTATCTTAGTGGATTCCAGACCTCTATAAGGGTAGATATAAAGCTACACAGAGGCTATTTTATTCCAGACAAGGTAAGGGCACAGGCTAGCAGCAACTTGTAGTCATGTAGAAAAGGTTTGGGTCTGAGGGCATAAGAAGATGTGGGTTTAAGTCCAGCCCATGCCAATCAGGAGCAAGCCACTTCCTGAGCCTCAGTTTTCTTTTCTTTTCTTTTTAATGTTTATTTATTTATTTTGAGAGAGAAAGAGAGAGAACTCTCGGCAAGCAGGAGAGGGGCAGAGAGAAAGGGAGAAAGAGAGAATTCTAAGCAAGCTTCCGAGCCGTCAGCGTGGAGCCCAATTCAGGGCTCCATCTCACCAACCGTGAGTGAGGTCATGACCTGAGCTGAGATCAAGAGTCTGAGGCTTACCCAACTGAGCCACCCAGGCACCCCATGAGCCTTGATTTTCTTAACTAAAAAAATGGAAATGAAATCTCCTTGTCCTTCTCCACTGGTTTCAGAGAGATCAAATAACATGACTCATGGGCAAGTGCTTTGAAAGGATAAAAGTTGTCACCAACATGGAGCAAGGTGGTGGTGATGATAAAGAATGTTGTGCCAGCGTATCATTTCCAGGAACATGGGTTGTTCTTTGATTTCCCCCCAGCTCCTAGTCAAGCCTGTTCACATCTGAGAAATCAGCAGCAAGAACATATGTCACCCCAACCCCCAGCCTGTGTTACTGGCAGAAAAATGGCAAAAGTGAAGTTCTGACCTGGGACACAAAGCTATTTAAAGAACTTGGAATGTAAACACAGGTGGATTGTGTGTTTGTTGCCCTGGGCAATGAGCTGTCAGTCTCACTTTCCCAAGCACTGAAGCCAATGGAATTTACAAGTCCACAGAAGCACTCTAAAATACTACTGCCATCCAAGTACTCATTATTAATCACATTATCGCAGTATCTTTTGGACCCAGTGTGATTATGTGTGTACTTTATGCCCTTGTTAAAGTTTTTATGGGATTACTGAAGCTGAGATAACCAAACAAAACTGAGACCAACAAACCCTGCACTTGCTTAGGTGAAGAGGGAGGGAAGGAACGTCATTAATAATAAAGAATATTTATTGGGTGCATATAATGCACCGGGAGCTCTACTGGTATTCCCCTCCCAACAACCTGGTAGGTAGGCATGATGGTTATCCTCATTTTATATATAAGGAAGGTAAATCTTGGAGAAATTACACCTTCCATCATGAGCTTTCTTTAGGTGGCCCTAAATGAGCATTTGAAACCTGCAGTTTAGTTGACCCAGCAGGCTTCCTGCATTAGTTGACAAGAGCTCAGGACACTTCCTTATGACTGCTGCTTTGAAAATTAACTTCTCTACCCACTCTCCCAGATCTTCTTGCACTACTCCTTCAACAGAAACCAGGATCCTGACCCCCCAATCCAGTGGGACTCACAGCAAGTGTACAGCCAGCACCTGCTGATGGACAACATCTAGCAATGTGACAGTACCAACAACAGCCACTGCCAGACAACAGCCGTACCACTGCCACAGCCATATGTCAGGCACTAGGTCTACATTGTTGTTGTTGCTACAACAAGCACATGAGGAAGATACTATCAATTTCTTTTTTCTTTAAATTAGAAATAGAGTTAGATGGATGGGGAAGAGAAAAAAGAAAGAAAGAGTTAGAAAGGTTAGGTGACTTGTCCAAGGTCACAGGTCACAAGGCTTGCAAGTGGTGGAGCTGGGATTCCAACTGCCATAATCAAAGCCCATCATTGTCTGTTGTTCTCATTTTCTCATTCTGTTTCCCAATTAACTCTTCCTCTATTGTGCCTCCCCCAGCAATACAAATATTAAAGTACTGCTTTTATATCCAGAGAAGATATTTATGAAGTAAAATCTTACAAGTAGCATCACCTTAACTATTAATGCTTAGAGTATATTTAGAGTCTAGGATTCCTCTGCTTTCTTCCTACTAGTCCTGATCCAAGTAGAGTTGGATTCAAATCACTGGGTCACACTCCTCTTCTAGATCTTACCTTTCTTTTCCCTCAGTCAGGTCAAGCTGAACTCCTGACAACTCTTTTTTTTTTTTATTTTTTTTTTAATGTTTATTTTTGAGACAGAGTATGAGCAGGGAGGGGCAGAGAGGGAGAAATAGAATCTGAAGCAGGCTCCAGGCTCTGAGCTGTCAGCACAGAGCCCAACATGGGGCTCAAACCCATGAACGGTGAGATCATGACCTGAGTCAAAGTCAGACGCTCAATTGACTGAGCCACTCAGGTGCCCCCTGACAACTCTCTTGAATACACGACATAGTCTACCTGGTTCTAGCTTTTAGTCAACCAACTCTTTCATCTTCTCAAGATATTCTCAGCCTCTGGAACACACCAAGTTTCCCCTAGATAGTCAGTCCCTGGGGAAGAGTCACAGTGGATGAATTTATTTGACCTACTTCAAGAAATTAACAGGTTGGGTTCCATGTTAACAAACCCCAAATTTGTTCATTGCAACAATGCACCCACCTAAAAAAAAGTACAATTTCTAGTCTCTCTTAAGAGTGACCATTATGTCCCAATCACAACCAATGATAGATACAGGGAAAGTGCTGGGTAGATTTTCCAGGAAAGACCTTTACAAGAGGAAGGACACTTGACTGGCTTGTTCATTTTTCCTCTGCCTTCACACCTCAACTTCTTCAGGTTCAGAACACAACTTCATGTCCAGCACAAAAATGAAGGCTATGCCTTAGAGTAGACAATTAGAAGGAGCTCCTGATGGCACTGTGGAATCACCATATCAATCCTGAATTGAACTCCTAAGGAATTCCTTGTATATGATTTGTTTAAGTCACTGTTTCCAGGCTTTCTATTACTCTTAGACACATGAAATTACTGATGTGGAAACCTAAACTCATGCAAGCACACGGATATTAGCATAAGAGAACACATGCTCAAGATTACCAGAGGCTGGGGAGAAAGGAGAAAGTAAGAATGAGGAGGCAGGATGGTATAATGGTTACAGTCAAACAGAACTACATTCAAAGACCAGATTTGATGCTCCCTAGCATACTATGTAGCCTCAGACAATGAAAGTCCCTGAATCTGTAAAATATATGACCTTATAAGATTTATAACCATCAAATTAGTTTATGTTTATAAAATATGTGATAAGATACCTAGCACATAGATAGGTTTAGTAAACAATGGCTATTAAGTATTATTTTTGTCATCATTATCATTGCACTATATGGCTTCTTAAAGACTTTAACATTTCTAGGAGATAAGGAAGGGAAGAAGAAAAATCTGGTGAATGGTCTTTGGGATCCTATTGATAGGGAGGGGTTGGGGCCAACCAATCATTCTTGTTGATTAGGTCAAAATCCAGTGGGAAGTTCAGGTCCTAAAGCTGAAATGTCACATGCTGAGTGTACATGCACCCATCAACACTGGCCAATCAACAGTGTCTCCAGAGAAAAATAGCACCTGACTCTTTCCCACTGGGTTGTATTATGAAAAGAATATAAATTTCAGAATCAGGTAAGCACTGATTTGAATTCTCATTAGGGTTGGTGATACAAGCATCTCTCTCCTTGGCTTCCTCATCAGTAAGATAAACATGCTACTAGTTACCTCCTAGGGCTATAGAAGGTGAAGTGTCTGGCAGAGGCTGGGCCTTGACACACAGTAAGTCTAAGTTTCCATCCTTTCCTTCAAACCTCCAAATAATATGCAAATCTCATAGGTTCTTTTAAGCTGGTAATATAAAAAATGCTGC